CAATTGAGCGCCACCTATATCATAACATGAAACTGTCTATCTGAAATGAGCTCTATTGATTCAAATTGGTTCAGTTGTATTTAGAACGCTTTTTTTCAATAAGAGAATATTTTTATGATAAATATTCTTACAGTTTAGTCACGTATGTAAGAATGTGGTTTTAGCTTTGTATCTTAAAATTGTCTGCATTCATGGAGCGACTGGTATTTCAAAGTCACACTATTAACTCAGATATTTACTGATCTCAATTTCTTTTTAGGTACGCAAAACAGAACAAAGTAGAAACATGGCTAACGTAGCAACCGCTCCACCCCCAGTCAATAATCAACAAATGTCAAATTACGATGATGATGATGAGGATGAGGATGGAGATGCTGTTTATGAAAATGTTCCCTCCCCAGCCAGAACTGATGTCTTCAGAGAGTCTGATATCAAAACCGACTTAGAATTACCACAATTAGGTAGAGCTACCAGCATGAAAGAAAGATTCCTGAAACTGGCAGAAGAAAGTGCATCTGGTAAAAGAACTGCTGATAAGGAACTGACACCACCACCAGAGATTAAAGGTGTTATTGAAGCTGGTGTGTTTGAAAGTCAACCATCACAACCTAGACAGGATGTCTACAGATTCAAAGACACTCGCAGTGAAGATCCTGTACCAGAAAAAGGTAAAGCATTAAATACTGTTCAGAAATATAAAGAAATAGCAAGTCGGGAATTTAAAGGACCTGCTGATAAAAGGGAAATCACTCCAGATAGAGCTGGTGTTCATGAATATGTTAGCGAGCCCAGAGCAGAGCATTTAACCTATGAAGAACAACCTTTAGAAGCTGGTGTTTTTGAAAGTAAACCCCAAGTTGCTGAGAATGTACATCGTTATGAGGACTATGTTCCTGAAGAACTTCCTGAAATTGGTACCGCTAAAAGTCTTGCTTCAAAGTTCAAGGAAATTGAGAAGAATGCTCATATCCCAATAACTGCTGCTAACAAGAGGGAAGTAACTCCAGATAGACATGGACGTGGAGAATATATAACCGAACCCAGAGCCCAACATTTAACCTATGAGGAGAAAGTTGAAGGTGGTATTTATGAAAACCAACCAGCAGCAGTACGAGATGATATATATCGTCATGAAGAGTTTTATACTCCAGATCCAGTTCCAGAAAAGGGATATGCTAAGAATCTTGTTTCCCGATTCCGTGAGATTGAGAAAAATGCCTCTGTTCCTAAGCCATCTGGACGCCAAGTTACGCCCCCAAGAGAAGATTCTAAAAATGTGTATGAAAATGTGCCAACAGACTCTCCTATAGCTTACAAAGAAGCAATTCAACATGAAGATGTACTCCCAGAAAAGGGCAAAGCCAAGAATTTAGCTTCAAAATATAAAATAATAGAACAAGAAAATTTGAAAGCTAAATCAGGCGGTCGACAAGTTAAAGAGTTCACCCCACCGAAAGATGACAGAACTGTTTTTGAGAGTACACCAAGAGATTCTGGTTTAAGGTATGAAGATGCTCCGATAGAGAGTGGTATATTAGAGAATCAACCACTAGTTAGAGAAGATATCTACAGAGAATCAGATCCTAGAGATATCGAGGTAGAATTACCAGAAAGAGGTGCTGCTAAAAATCTTCTGTCTCGATGGAAACAGATTGAAAGCGAGAGTGCCAACAAAACACCACCTACTCCTGGTAGATACAAGGAGTTTACTCCACCAAGAACTGATGAACGAGTAAAAGAACAAAGAGCTCCATTGAGTCCAGGAATCCAAAACAACAGTGTTCAACCTAATGACCTTCCTGGTCAATATCAACAAGCTGGTAATGAACCATCAGTTTTCGAAAGTACACCAAAAGCTCCACGAGAGGATTTATATCGTGAAGCTGATACTGATTGGTCCGTGGGCTTACCAAAAGCTAACAAAACCAAGAAAATGCTGTCTAAGTTCCAATCTATCCAGCAAAAGGCTCAAGAACCAGTAACATCGTCAACAAAGAGGGTAAGTAATGATATACCTTGATTACATTATCTTAAGATGAAAATAAATAGCGTTGGATGCAAGACGTAATTTTCGATGCATGTTAATCTTTTTCTTAAAACTGTTGTCTAGGCATGCCTAAATTTATATTTTGACAATTTAATTAACAATAATAATTTCAATACTTTTCTCTTTATTTATGAAAAAATTCTGTCATACAATCATTGCCATCATCTTTTATCATAATCATGATTGAACGCGTAAATTGATTGACCTATCATATCATGACCTCTTGTAGAATGACATGCCATTTTAGACTGGATCACTATGTAGATCGAAAGGCCTGAAGACCATGACCACATGTAGATTGACATTATTTGATCATGATCTTTGTGTAGATGGACAACTTGAAATTCATTATCACATGTAGATTGACAGGTCATTTTTTTATCATGATTTTTGTATAGATGACAACTTGAAAATCATCATCACATGTAGATTGACAGGTCATTTTTTTATCATGATCTTTGTATAGATGACAACTTGAAAATCATCATCACATGTAGATTGACAGGTCATTTTCTTTATCATGATTTTTGTATAGATGACAACTTGAAAATCATCATCACATGTAGATTGACAGGTCATTTTTTTATCATGATTTTTGTATAGATGACAACTTGAAAATCATCATCACATGTAGATTGACAGGTCATTTTTTTATCATGATCTTTGTATAGATGACAACTTGAAAATCATCATCACATGTAGATTGACAGGACATTTTTTTATCATGATTTTTGTATAGATGACAACTTGAAAATCATCATCACATGTAGATTGACAGGTCATAATATGACCATGATCTTCGTGTATATATTGCCGGAATGTTCTAATTTTCATCACCATGTAGATTAAAATCATGCCATGTAGATTAAAATCATGCCATGTAAATAAGTCATTATATCATGATCACATGATGTAAATTTAGGACACAATCTTTTAGATAATTGCTAGTCATTAAGCTGCAATTTATGCATTCTAGTAGAACATGCTTCTTCACTTAGCATAATGCACATGTTTTTGCATTGGGAGACCTGTCTTGAGAATTATAATTTAGCTTAAAATAAGAACTCTTTCATATGGCTTGTTTAGGCTATGTAAAGATATTAAGGTGCAATGTAGAAGCTTGATATTTTAGAACTATGCAGATGAATACCCATTTTTGTTTTGTGACGTCTAAATATATCCTTATCCAGACAGACTCTTCACTTTGTATCCTCTAGCAAAAGGGCCATACCAAAGATAATCCCATCCTTCAGTCATTTATTCTTGTCCATCTATTGGTGTCTTTGTGTATTATCAATGTATATTTTCTATGTATTACCCCAAACTTTGCTTTGTAGGAAGAGCCAGAATACACTATCCCTTCTATCAAAGACAATAAGGTTCGTTTTCTCCTAATCACAATGTTCCATATCTTTTTTAGTTTATTGTTAAAGGGTCTCGCAATGTTCGCTTGAATTGCTAGATTTTTTGTATCTGATTGGTTTAGGTTTTTCAAATATGTTTGGTAATTGGCTATCCAAATCATCAATGGCTTTCATATATGATTAACTTTTCAAGATACAGTCAAATAATTATTAGTTAAAATCCAAATTATTAAAGTTGAAAATCACTTTTAAATGTATTTATAACTTGATGTATTTTTGAGTGCATGATACCAAATTCCTATTTACTTGGCCACAATTCATGCTTTTAATGTCACCTAAACAAAAAGTCACAATGCCGGTGTTGGTACTGAATTCTACCCCAGGTCCTTCAGTTTTCAAACGAGCTTTTAGTTTAGCAGGGTAACTCGGGAATTTTAAGTGGGACATCAAGCCTAATTCTATATTTCTTAGCACTTATTGAGCTTTTTTTGGTGTACAAAAACTCTAAAATTTCTGGTCAGCCTTGAACCCTTATCAAAATTTGAATATGACCAAAGGTAGTCCATTGATTCCTTTAGAATATTGAAAACATTCCTTATTGTAAAGGTGAAACTCACCCTGCTCTCTTGTGAACATAATATAGAACTGGATTTGACTTTTGCCTTAGTTGTAATGTGGGTCCCTTTTCAATTTCTCATTTAAAAAATATTCTTATCAATTGTCATGTGTGGTTTCGTTTATTTTATTGCACTGGTCACAAGTTTATGTTTTCACCTATTATTGGCACTGTCACATTTGATTTTGTTTCACCCTCATTCCTTCAGTTCATGTTTACAGTTTTTCATTTTCATTTTCACTGTGCTTGAATCCACATACATTTATTTTTCACATGCTTAAGTGCTTACATATCATTTTTGCTGCCATTTTGCTTATTTGCATTATCATTCATTTTCCATTCCAAATCTTGGATATTTCATGATCAAATTTGCATCTCTCTTCCCATTTCAATTTTTTTCAGATTTTATTTTATTTATTTTTTGTCCGTCCATTTTCGACTCTTTGTGATTACTCCACCATTTCCAGAATTGATTTGATTTTAAAGCATGCTGCGATTTTACAGTTAAAAGTTTTTATTTGTTGCATGCCTATGTTGTGTTGAATGGTTTTATGAAATATACCCCAGATTCTACTTCTCATATGGACCTTGATTATATCTTAACACTGTACGAATTCACCATTCAAATTTGGAAACATTTACACTTGAGACAAAACTTGAAGCGGAAGGATATCACTCTGAATTTCTTTCAACTTACAAACAATGGTTGCTTGGCAACAAGTTTTTGAAATAAAGTTCAAAATGAAATGAAAAGATCTCTGAAGTAGACCATCACTCCTTCGATTTCGATACTTTAGTTCCCTAATTTCCAAGCTGCATTTTGTTCATTAGCCAAACCCTTTTCCATTTTCTCCTCCCCTACATACTAACTTTTTACAATCCTTACCCTTAGTTTTATTTGAATGACTAATTGTGTGCTATTTTTTTACTAAATTTTATTTAGCCTAAAAAAGGAGGATTTTTTGTTGCTGTGCAGAATGAAAAGTGTGGTGCTTGCCAGAAAACTGTTTATGCTATGGAAAAAATCGAAATGAATAAAAATCATTATCATCGAGCTTGTTTAAAATGCTCCCAGTGCTCAGCTGTACTCACGTAAGATTTTTACGCCTTCATTTTCATGCGAGGTCTTGATCATAATGAAGACTTGTTCGTAATGAGGACTAGTTCATAATGAGGACTAGTTCATAATGAACATAATGAGAACTTGTTCATACTAAGGACTTGTACATAATGAAGACTTGTTCATAATTAGGACTTGTTAATAATGAGGACTTTTTCAAAAAATGACTGGTACATAATGGAGGACAAGAAATTGACAAAAACACTACTTTAAATTCTGTTCAGAAGGATTTTGAGTTGATTTATATCAAAGCATGCATGAAGAAATGTTTTACAGTTGCATTAAAACTGAAATTCAGATATCATTTTTATCAGATTGTCTATAGCTTGAAAATTCAGATTAGATTCAGCATGTCCAGAATTTTGTCTAAAACTGAAATGAAATTTACTAACAGAATTGACATTTTGCATGATTCCTGGTTCAACAGCATGGTAGTTTTTTTTAATGATTTGCATTTTGAAGTTTGAAAACGTGTCCAATTAAAAAAGTTCATCCAGAAACAGACAGTATATGAAAAGCATGATCCGCCATATGCTATCTTGATCGATGAATATAAACAGGGATCCCAGCAAGAAATGGAAACAATCAGCTGAAGGTCAAGGGGACCACACGCTCCCATGTGAGATACAGGGGGAGATTTGGCAATTTTGACATGCTTTAGGAGTCATTTCCTTTCTATCCCTAAAACCAAATTTTTAGTGGTTTAATTTGAAAATAAAAAAGACATTGTTGCGAGAAAATATTTTTCATAAATTTTCATGTCTGGTAATTCATTAAAGGGATTGTAAAGTTGTTTTCTAAATTTTTTATGTGTGTCAAGAGACACTGATAACATCAATTTGCACCATTCCAATTTTGCCCTTGGCCCATGATAGTGATGTCATCAAACACTGCAGGTTTTTGAAAGGAGAAAGAAATCCTGGTATCACAAAACTATCATGTCATATATTGTATTGCTTTATATATTGTATTCCTCTTTCCTTTTTCAGCCCAAAAACTTTCGCAATTAATGCCGGAACAATGTATTGTACCAGTCATTATAAACAACTTTTTGCACGGAAGGGAAATTATGATGAGGGATTTGGCAGACCACAACACAAGAAGAAATGGAAGAGTGAACCTAATCTATTAGCAGATAGTGAACTTCAAGAACACGAAATAGAAGCATAGATTATATTTTTATTATCATTTATTTAATATTCAAATAATCCAACATTTTCTAATATTTTCTACAAGACTGATGTTTATATAAGGTTGAACTTTAAAAAAGGTTTTTGCAGGGATGAAAAAATTGATGTATCTATGGCCATGTTTTGATGGATTAACCCTTTAGGGGAAAAATGCAACCATAATCGGACATTTTTGGCTGAGGCAACAAAATTCACTAGAAATCTTGACTACCATGGGTTAACTATAGAATTATTTCTTTTAAATGCCCAAGAAAGATACCAACATTTCTTCATTCCCATATCAAGTGTATAAGAATCCATAAATTGAAGTTCACATGTCGAAAAAATATTTTTTGGTTTAACCCTTTCACAATGCAACATTCACAATATATTATGATCAAATTTATTAATCAAAACCATTTATTTAAAAACCTTTTTATTTATATATAATTACAAACAAATTTGATTAAAATATACCATATTCAGGGCATTTCACCAAAAGTATACGCTCTTCGATGCCGAATACAGCATAACATGTATATACCATATTATATATAACTGTAGATTAAACTTCTTCAAAATGATGATAAAAATTGTGATATTTTTTTAATCAACCCTTACTAACCAAAGTATTCAAATTTTTGAGGTATTTGAATTTGTAAGCTGATGTTTGATTGGTGAACCTGCCTTGTCCCTCATGAAGGAAGCGATATGATTGGATGATGTATGATCAGTGTTTATATAACTTTTGACTTCTGCTCTCTAAAATTTGGTGCGCTATACATGTTAGATTTTATTACTATTATTATTATTATATTGTATTTAAATTATCATATCATTGCTCGCTGCTTTATTTTTTTATTTTTCATGCAACAGATCAAAGGAGAGTTAGTTTAGAATTATATTTTGATCATTCTTTGTGATGTCTAAATATTCAGAAATTATTGTGTTTTCTTAACTCTTGAACTCTGATCTCAGTCTCTTTTGCTACACTCTTTTCATAATCAAGTGGCTGAATTTTTAGAGGAGAAAGATCACTTGGAACTGGGATATATTACCATACTGGAAATCCCAAAACTGCATTGAGTAATAATGTATATTGAATTACACATAAAATTTAGAAAAACTTTTTAAGTGACAACCTTGCAAGATCAGCTCTACCATAAGTATAGCAAAGATATTGAATCATAGGGCCATATGCAGCGCTCGTACTTTACTTCAACTTTGACTTAAGTGGAACTTTAGGTATGCACCGGTCGATCTTTACGAAAGTCATGCTTAAATTTGACTATCAAATGTAGAAAATGAAAGCCTTAATCCTAACTTTGTAAAGTTCAAATTTAGTCAAGGTAAGAGCGCTACATACGGCCCTTATACTAGTTGATATTTCAATTAATGTTCAATAATGAGAATGCTAAATTTAAGCACTCCTCATCTTCAAACTACAGAATTACCAAGCATAATTCCTGATAATGCATTTTATTCTTTCAATATCTTCTGTGAATTTGTATTCCTGGTAACTACTTGAAAATTACATTTGCCAGAAATTCTCAGAGTAAGGAAATCCTTTTGTTTTCAAAAAAACTTAGTCCATTGTGTTCAGAACAAAATTGCAGTAAAAAAAAAAACCTAAGTAGTGCATTATTTTTTTCATGTGATTTTTGTATATTTATTATTGTATATTATTCTTTCTGTGGCTATTTCATTTTTTCATGTATAATATCTTTAAAATTATGAAAAAATATCAAAAATGATTTCTTATATTGTGCTAATAAATATTTGTCGATCAGAATAGTGAGAATCCACCTTGATTTTGACAAAATTACAGTATTTCTGTGCAGAAGACAAAGGGAGGTAATTAGTTAGAAAGGGGGATAACTGTGATGAAAGAAAAAAGTATTACTTGTAGTATTTACTTTATTCAAGGTTTAGACATGACATTTTTAATAATATTTAAATTATGCAAATTCTGTAGTGAAATATTTTGTTGATAGTAATTATTTAAATTGTGCTTAGTTTATATTATTCTATTTCATTATTGCAATAAATCATGATGCTTGCTTCTTTTTCTTTTAATATCTCATCAAGTGTATGTTTTCAACCACAGGGACTATATTCAACATCTCATATGACTGCGTTATACCCAATCTCTGCTAACATTGTCTTTGAGTACTTAGAATTATTTGCTGCATAATGTAAGCCTTTTGCTTCAGCCTGGTATTCAATCCCAGTTTACTCACAATATCTGGGGACATTCGAAATCCATAGCACTAGAGGAAATTGAAATTTAGTGTTGCAAAGACAGAGCATAGGCTACTCATCTTGCATCAGAGCATGACCTCTTAGATCTATGTCAATTTTGTTCAAGAACGAATAAAATTTACAACACGCCATTGCAAAAATCAGACCTTCATTATCTTCAACCAATTCTTCTTGCATTTTATCTTCGCCATCAATTCAACATTCTTGACAATACAGAATCGCCAGTCTTTAAATCAAGCATTAGGATTCTTGTTTCTCATGATTCATATATAACTACATTCTTATCTTTAGTTAAAATGTTGAAGGATTTCTGGGTAACGGATCTGAAGATAAAAGAAAACATTTCGAAATGTTAATCATGAAATGGGACAATTGCAGAAATCTGTTCTCACCTGAGGAATTGCCCATCTTCATCAGCAAGATTATAAGCATAATAATAATGTGAAAGCTCAACTCGATTGATTTCATTCTCATTGGTTCAGAAGATAGGTAAAGGGAGGTAACTAGAATTGAAGAGCTATATTCCAGACCACAAATACTTCATTAATGTAATAACTTTAAAACCATAAGAAATAATGTAATAACTTGAAAACCATATTTACCTCATGGCATAAGTTGGAATATCAGTAGTGTACAAAACAAAGAATTGAAATGAAGCTGATTGTAAGGCATATATTTTATATGTATCTGTAACAACATAAGTTTCTTGTGGTTTGTGACTGTATTCTGCTGGACCTAAAAAAAAAACAAATATTTATCTTGGATTACATAGTCTACAGTTAATGATTGCTGTTGCACTACTGTGTTTTTATTTTTGAAGAGTCTACGTTTTACTGGGAATATTATGGAATGGCTTCTAATGCTGAATCAGATATATATTTAATACCATGAAGCAGCCATGGAGAATTCCATAGAATTCCTCCAATGCCAAATTTGTTAATTCTATGGTCTTAAACATAGAATTTGCTTCTATTCTTTCTGCTTTCCAATAGTCAATAAGGGGTTTGTGAACCTACCAATCTGAGAGAGATGTACAAACCTATTTCACTGCCCTCTACAGTACTAGAGAAATATGTTCCTATAACTTTCTGATAGTAACATCTTAATATCTCTCTTCTTCTACTACTATTTATACCTCTTTCTAGTAAAAAAAAAAACAATAAATGATATAAATGATAATATTGTTTTGAATCCTAAATGTTTCAGTTAATCTCTAAATACTTAAATACAAATTCTCTTTCATAATTTCTTCATGTATTGAAATTACATTGCTTTACATGTCAAACCTAGCAACAGAAGAAACCATACATGAGGAATTCTAAAGGTATATTTTATAAATCCATAGAAATTGCATGGAAGCCATGAATGGTGGACCTACAGCTGTTAAGATGAGTATATGGTAACAAATTTATCAGAATTTAATATTTATACTGACCTTGTAAATTATTATTGATATCAACAGAACATAAACATTTATTACTTTCACTGTTTATTAACATAAATCTAAAAAATAATAAATATTATAATACTAAAGGCTCAGATGCTCCATATCTAGAAGTGCTTTTTTTAAATTACATGTATACCAAGTATGATTAATGACGATATAAATTGTTAAAATCTTACCCCAATATATTCTGATCTAAAACAACATTGTTAGGTACATTCCTAGGATGAACATCACAAGCTGCTCTTAAATTATCTATAGCTGGACTCCAAAATCTTGAAACCTGTCAAAAAAGGATTTTTGTGTTATCATTATAGATGTGGGAGCAGTGCTGTGCACTGGACAGAGAATGTTACTCTTTCCAGACATTTCGATTTAGTCCTGAATGATTCTAGACAAGTTATAAAACATTTTATATAAACAGGTTATATTATAGTGCGTTCAGATGACAAAAGTTATGGCAGTTCAACTATCAACCGTTCTGAGAGCCTGGATTACTGTTTTTTTCGGTGAGCATACAGACGAACATAAATGTTAACAGCTTTCCTTGGAAGTTCAGAGGTCACAATATCATTGCGCATGCATATTATGATAACAAAAATAATTGCAGGATTTTGTTTACAAGAATGCACACGCAATGACATGACATATCTGGCTTAATGTTAGTCATTTTCACAACGGCCAAACTTTACTGGCTTAACTTTTCAAGCTAGGTTTAAAGCCACCTTCACGGTAGGTGCAAGATAAGGAGGCTTAAGTTTAACCGGTCACATTCAGACCATTAAAAAAAGGCGGATCGAAAATATATGCTGATACTTACCTCTGATCGTAACTTAGATAATGATATATACTGATACTTACCTCTGATTGGAACTTAGATAATGATATATACTGATACTTACCTCTGATCATAACTTAGATAATGATATATACTGATACTTACCTCTGATCGTAACTTAGATAATGATATATACTGATACTTACATCTGATCATAACTTAGATAACGATATATACTGATACTAACCTCTGATTGTAACTTAGATAATGATATATACTGATACTTACATCTGATCATAACTTAGATAATGATATATACTGATACTTACCTCTGATTGTAACTTAGATAATGATATATACTGATACTTACCTCTGATTGTAACTTAGATAATGATATATACTGATACTTACCTCTGATTGTAACTTAGATAATGATATATACTGATACTTACATCTGATCATAACTTAGATAATGATATATACTGATACTTACCTCTGATTGTAACCTAGATAATGATATATACTGATACTTACTTCTGATTGTAACTTAGATAATGATATATACTGATACTTACCTCTGATTGTAACTTAGATAATGATATATACTGATACTTACCTCTGATTGTAACTTAGATAATGATGGTGAAGGTCCACATATAACACAAACATCTACACCATTAATTAGATTGAATGTTAACAATCTATGTGGCACCTATAATATTTATAAAAATAAAGTTAAAACTAAATAATGTTTAAAATCAACATTCTTCAAAGATAACAAATATGTATGAATCATTTGATCAAAATATATGAAAATGACAAAAAGATATTCCTGGTTTTTAACATATTAGTGACAAAATACTTATCTTATGCTGTCAATTAAGGTATAGATTGAGATGAAACCCAGATTCCCCCAGGGTGAAGTGGCCGACATGGTTCAGATGGTACAATAAACTGGGAGTGCTACAGAATCTCTAGGCCGCTTTTTTGAGAAATAACACAGAAGTTTAGCAGTCTGATCGACAGATAGGTATTACATACTTACTGTTGGACTCATTTGAGGTAAATAAACAGGAAGATCTCTAGATGTACAGTGAGGTAATGATTCTATTAATAATGATAATAATATTAATTCAGTAGGTGACAACGAACACCATTTCTTGGTAGCAGACGCCACTTTTCCTTTCACTAATAAACAACCAAATAAACTATCACCAGCTTCTGTAAATGCCTCCAGAAAATTCTGTGGAAGAAAAATGGATTTATCTCCCTTGTATTACAAACCCAAACTAATGATTTCTTTAACAATTTTCAAGCACTTGAAAGAAAGTGGTGAAGCCATGCAAATTGATAATTTTTCAAAACTGCATCAGCGAGTATCTATGATTGTGTTATCATGAACATTAAAGCAAACAGAGTTTGGCCTACATTCTCCAAAACCTCAAATATTGAAGTTCCTTGCCTATTGAAAAAATGTACTAAGGAGTCCAAAAATATAGAGTTTTCTCCCTTTCCCCATGAATGACAAACAATGTTTTCTCACAAAATATTACATTATGTTTGCCTGAACAATAAATAAAACAACATATATGACTGAATGAAATGCAGTATAATTTTCTGTTCAAAATGATGGGGAAATGAAGAAGTGTGGTTGGTTCACTATGCTGTCTTAACTCCCTATAAGTTATAAAGAACGTACTTGTATAGTTGTAATATCCTGTATAACTATAATATCTACAGCATTGGTAACATCACTAAATGTTGGTAAACACCATCTTTCTAATATATAATCTAATAATTGAAAACACACCTACAAAATATATACATCTAAATTTAAGAATTTTTTTTCTGGCATTCAAAATAAAAAAATTACAAAGACATATCTTTTAATAAGAAATGAAATGAAACAAATGGAGTTTTATGTCCCAGACTAATGAGAGGTAGAAATGTATAATGTATTTGCTATATAATGATCTCAAAATTTTAAACAGTTTAAAAAAAGTTATGTTCTGCAAAATATTTGGATTGCAGTCTAGGGTGTCACCATTTAAAAATGTTCATAAAAATAATTTTTTTCTCTAGTAATAAGAAACAAATTCTAAAAAAAAAATAAGTTTAACATGTAGACTCTTAAACACTTATGATGAGGACAAAGCAATAAGAAATCTGGAAATTGTTTGCAGGAAGAAATACATGCCTTAATCATCAATTTCAAATCATATAACACATATCATAAGATATACATGATAAATGTGCTTCATGTGTTATAATTTATAATTATAACTTATATTGTAACAAGATGTAACACACAAAATGTAGCATTGCAATATACTATAGTGAGAATATAAAATCATATCATTAAGAAAATCAAAATTTCATCATCAAATTGAATTCATCAAATATTTTTTTCTATAGCTTGTCAAGAAATTTTTATCAATTCTAAGTAGTGTCGTTAATTAGCAAATAAAATTAGAAGAAAATTTAAGATGAAATCACGTCTGATTGGAGTAGATATATAAAATGAAAATATTGTAAGGGGATGATTCATCAATAAAGGGCTTATCAAAACAAATCTAGACTGCTAGCGTCATCTAGAATAGACCTAAAGTGATTAATAACAATGAAAAGAGAACAATAGAGCTTCTCGAAATATAACAATATCAATTGCTGATATCCAAATTATACTGCCGCGGCCTCAAATCAAACGACAAGGACAATAGACAAAAGAAACGAAGTGATTAAATATCAACGTTTAGGAAACTAAGCACATAAAGTAATAGAAATCAATAGTGGATACAACAGGGGGTTGCCTAGATAGGTCTGTCATAATTAACGGCCATCTGTTCACTTAATACTTTCTTACATTATCATTATTTTATACACTGGTATATGCACTAGGCAATTATTACAGATATATGGAGTTTATAGATTATTTGCATAATATTGATAGCTTTCCTCATTTCAACTGACATGTACCCATACTTTGTTATATCATTTAATATACTGGTATATAAGCTATCCTGCAATTATTACAGATATATGCAATTTATAAACTAGATCCATTATATAATAGTGATAGCTTTCCTAATTTGCACTTGCATTAATCATATTCTGATTTCATAATATTTTGATAGATCTATACATGGCTACAAGATAGCTATAGTGATAGCTCAGCCTTTTAAAATCGCTGCAAGCTAGAATCATATATATTGATAGCTCAGTCGTTTTATATTTCACTTATATATCCTTCAAGCTAGTTTTTGTCATATTTTGATAGCTCAGCCTTTTAAAATCTCACTTTAACTTATATGCCCTTCAAGCTAGCTTTTATTATATATATATTGATAGCTCAGACTTTTAAAATCTCATTTTAACTTATATCCTTTTCAAGCTAGCTTTTATCACATGATGATAGCTTAGCCAATTAAAATCTCACTATAACTTATATACACTGCAAGATAGCTTTTATCACATGTTGATAGTTCAGCCTATTAAAATCTCACTTTAACTTATATACCCTTCAAGCTAGCTTTTATATATAGATAGCTCAATTTTTATAACCTCAAATGAAATCATAAATAGAGCTACACCAAAGCTTCAAATTGATACCATAACATACCCGTCAAGATAGATTTTAACATATATGATAGCTCAATTATCAAAACCTCACTTATCAAATATAACCATATATAAAGTAACACACAAGCTTCAACTTGATGCCAATAGATATATAGCTTTTATCATATCATATAGCTTAATATTATTACACAAATACTCTGAGCTTAAAAAAGAATGAAGTTGGAGTCAATGGAAATTGCCAACAAATTTTAAATTGTCCACTTGGAAAAATATTGTGGTAAATTGTAACCGATTTAGTTTACGCACTCCCTTAATTATATAGAGATAGCTCAGTATTCAAAGGTCAATCACTTTAATATTATATTGATAGCTTGAAAACGTCACAATTTACGTCATATTACCTAGTTAACTATCACTAGTTGTATTTATATCGCTTGTCAATTGTCTCCTAACTATACCATATTGATGGCAAACCTTCAGGCACGTCTCAGCAACCTATTACAATAAATGTCATTTTTTTTTCAAATTTCAAAAATGGAATCTTCCATTGGTAATGATCTCCTACTCTTATTGTACTGTGGTAATCTGTTAATCAAATGGGTTATAGTTGTACAAAAACTAATAACCAAGTTTCTATGGGAATCTAAAAGCAAGGGTCATTTCAGATAAACAATTATTAGTTAGAATGTTATAAACAAAAATAAGTTATTTTTGTAAAAAAAATATCCAAAAATAAAAATGTACAATACTTTGAAATGGTATGTAATTAAGTATCAATAACTTTCATGTAAATATTTATCACAATAATTTGTAAGCTCTTACTCATGACAATTTTCAATAATTTTTTTGTAATTACTTATCACATCTTTCAAAAAAATTTTTTGTTATTACTTATTAAAACAATATCAAATCAGTAGTTTGTATGTACTTACTTATCACAACTTTCCTTAATTTGTATGTAATTACTTATCACATTTTTCAGTTATTTGTATGCAATTACTTATCACAACTTTCAGTAATTTGTATGTAATTACTTATCACATCTTGCAATAATTTGTATGCAATTACTTATCATAACTTTCAGAAATTTGTATGTAATAACTTATCACAACTTTCGGAAATTTGTATGTACTTGTAATTACTTATTAAAACCATAAGTAATTTCTATGCTATTACTTATCACAATTACTTTAACATTTTTCATTCATTTTTACTTGATTACTTATTGCAAATTTTAATAATTTTATATAATTACTTATCACAACTTTCAGAGAATAATTTCAGCCCCAATTAAAAACAATTAACGTAAAACTTTGTTACTGCATTTGGTTTTATAATTTACTATAAAATGGTTTCTTGATCATTTATGATGGCGTCAAATATCTGAAGCAAGGGAACAGTATTAGAAAACTAGTTCAATGGAACAATGAAATGAACCACTTCACTTGAAACTATCCTTTCTTAGTAAACTTCAACTCCTTATTAGTCATAATAATAAAAACGGCACTCTAATTTACCTCATTTGCATAATATATTCAAAAGACTTTTTTATTTAGCCAATCAATATATAGTTATACGGATATCAAATTTCCCATACTACAGATAATCGCTATAAATTTCAGGAAATATTTTTGTCAATCTATTTAATGGAACTTGAAACTTGTGTCTTTACTTAGTTAGTCCATCTGTGTATTTATTTATTTCACTTGAATTTTCATCTTCAAATAAAAGGGTTTTATTTCGGCCATAAACTGCTTTCAAACTTTCTTTCTTGGTGATAAAATAAAATCTTTTATTGTTCTTTCTACAATGAATATTCTAGGCAAATTACTTTAACAACACTTTCAATTCAGATTGATCCTTCTCATATTTTGAATTATGTGATCCAACAAACGCCATTATGACAATGACCAAAGTTCATCAAAAATTAAAATTAAAGGCATTGGTACAAGTATATCCTTTGTCTAATGATTTCTTTACTGATTCTATATTTGGTTGGGTAAGAATAGATAAAACAAATTAATAAACAATATTAACTATGTGGACTCTGTAAAACGGATGATGAGTTGACAATATCAATTACAGTGGTGTCAGCTATTTAAGAAGAAGTATGAATTGTCTTGCTGGCTAGCACAGTTCTCATTATAGCCGAGCCCAAATTCAATTAAGCTTTTGAGCAAAGCATTAAACTGCTTAGAAAGGAATTTTTTGCTTGTGCAAGACTTTAAATAGATAGTATTAAAACTTATATCAAATTATGAGGAAGAAGTTTTGTCTTCATGCATCATGTGCCAAATGCATTCAATGTGCATCCTGATGACATAAAGACCAACAGACAGTTCTTCAATGTAACAGATGCCGAACCAATCACAATCTGACATTATTGAGTTAAAAAAAACTGTCATCAAATAAAGGAATTTTGGGGAAATTCCATCCAAGCAGTTTAAAGTCTGAGCCCTATAAAATTTTTAATTAAAATTATTCAAGAGAAGCTAAGACGAGACAACTTGTAATGTGACACACAAATTCTTCAGCTGCAATAACAAAGCATTTGCGCACATGAAAATAGTGCACAGTGCATACTGCGTGCTGAGGTCAATGCATTCTTCCACAATTTGGCATTATCTGTATTGATTTTTTCTTTCCGTGTTGACATAGTTTGGCTAATTTCTTTTGTTTCCAACTGTCAGTGAAAGTCTGTAGAGGTCAGGCATCTTAAACTTTGAAGAAAATGGGTTCTTGAGTTTTTGGACGTGAACATTGGAAATTTCAATGTTTTAATCTATTTATTTCATAGAGCTGTTAGTTTAATTGAGCATCATATTTGATTAATGATCAACCCACCAGTCTTATAACTTTACACTCAAAATAGATTTTTAAGACAAAAACAAAATAAATTTGTTCCCTCCCAAAAAAAAAATCTGAACGAGGCGTCTGGGCCCAGAGTTTGTTGTCAGTGTATATTTGAATGTTTTAAAACAAATGAATTCTGACATATTTTTTTATCTTTTTGTCTCGTCTTTGAATGATTTTTTCACCCATTTTAAATAAAACTAGACTCAATATCTATAGTCATGTGTCTTTTTAACAAATAAAACACATAGCTGAGTTCATTAGACATGTTTTATTTTTATGAAGATTTGTGAGAACTTGACAAATCACGTTACATTGAGCATTTTTTATCCTTCTCCGCCTCTCGGCAATCGAAATCTTTCATTTAAATATTTTTTG